CAGAGAGAAAGGTCTTCCTTTTTTTGCTGTTGGTTCACCCTCCAATGGCCGCCACAGCCAGCGTTCTGCGGCCGGCGCACCGCGCTGATCCGATGGCAGGAGCCAGGTGCTTCTCCTGGTCTCCCATGGGGTGCAGGGCCCAAGTACTTGGGCCATCCTCCACTGCACTCCCTGGCCACAGCAGAGAGCTGGCCTGGAAGAGGGGCAACTGGGACAGAATCCGGTGCCCCGACCGGGACTAGAACCCGGTGTGCCGGCGCCGCTAGGCGGAGGATTAGCCTAGTGAGCTGCGGCGCCAGCCGGAGGCATGATTTTTTACAATCATTTCTTTACTGCAACAGTAGACTTAAGGACACTCCGATGCTCTGGAGGTGGCTGAACATGTTGAAGGTAAGAGTTGTCCTAAGATTGGCCAAGAAATGTTTAGGATAGCATATCGACAGTAATAGAATGGCCAATCTTGCTTCTTTCAAGGGTAAAAGTTGAGAAGAAGAGAACAGATTCAGATCTCCGTTCAAATCAAAATGAGATTCCAACATTCACTAAACCGTAACTTGTAACGTCATCTGAATGCAGGAGTTCTATGAATGTTCAATTACCGTGTGCACATTCAACTGGTTCTACAGTAGGAGAAGGGCTACTGCCTCAAGGAAAGGTGGTCAGCTAAGGGGCACCACAAACATTCTAGTAGATAAAGATTCTGCAGACAATGGGTGGCAGCATGCCCTATGTGAGAATACTAGAGTTTAGGATCTTACGCCACTATGTAAAAAGTTGTCTGTCTGTGAGACCACTCACCAGTCCTACACATCATGACAATTAGAGGTGGGAAAAAAGCCCACAGCCATTTACCATCATTGAGGGGTCATGTAATGCGCTCCACTGAGAGCAAAATCACCACCAATTTCGGCAGCAGGGAAGTCATTTGCTGCTTAGCACTTATTCTACAATCACTGTGCTGCAAACCAAGAAATAAATACAGTTTAGTGATGTAGAGAGCAGTAAATAGCACGTAAAGAGTGAGAATTGCTTTAATTTCCTCTGTGCTGGTCCAAAAGTCAGCACATGTTCTTGAGCCTCTTAAAGGGGGCCAAGGATTTGGGAAGCTGGCTTTGACTTGTGGTGGTTTTCAATTTGATTTTCCTTTACAGGTGGAAAAAAAAATAACCCAGAGTGAGATATTCATGCAAGAGTAAAATGAAAAATTAATAGATCTTTAAGAATCAAATTTATTTTCTTGATGACTCAGTGTTGCATTCAATTTTTTCTTGTATTTTAATTTATTGTATTTTATTTGACAGGAAGAGAGAAAGAGTGAGGGCAAGAGTGAGAGAGACAGAGAGCGAGCACTCCCATTCATTCGTTCACTCCCCAAATGTTTGCATCAGCAGGAGTTGGGCCTGGCCACATCTGGGAGCATGGAACTTAATTTAAGTCTCCCATGTGGGTTGTGGCAACTCAATTACTTGAGTCATTGCTGCTGCCTTCCAGGGTCCACTTTAGTAGAAAAGTGAAGTCAGGGGCCAAAGTAGAGAATCAAACTCAAGTACTTCAAAGTGGAAGATGGGCTGCCAACAAGTGCTGGCTTAGGTTGTGTGTTGGTCTCATTTCCCTTGTTAATGAATTATGGGCATGCGATGAAATTCTGGAGGAGTGTGCTAGCAGGCATTAGTTGACTATTTAACAGAGGCAAGCAGAAAGATATGATGGCTTTTCCTGGATGTGATCATAGCTACCGTCACTATCTTGGAGCTTTGAGAAGTGCTGCTCTGAGGAGAAATTTAGAATAGAAAGATGATACCAATGAGCCAGCAAATGAACTGTCCCTGGAGATCATCTAGTTATAGGAGATAAGAAATGCCTGATTGTTTAAGGCAGTCAAATCAGGGTTTCTAACTCTGTGCAGCTGAAGGCAGAGAGGTTCCATTTGGTTTCCTTAGTATGTTTCGGAGAGTTAAGCCCTACACACATTTGCCAAGATGGAAAGATATTATAGGAAAGTGAATATATCATAGTGCCACAGTGCTTTACAATTCCTTATAGAAACTTCTTTAATTTAAAAATAACTTCCTGTCCTACGTGTTACTTTTATTTTTCTTTCCATTTAACTTAATCTCAGCAATTATCTTGACAGATTTAAGGTAAAGTACTTCATTCACATAATAAAATTTGATTGACAGTTTTAATGTGTGGAAGAGGTTAAGATGTGACTTTAGCATTAATAAGCTTTTAAGCTTCACATAATACAAGCCAAACACACATTAGAAAAATGAATCCAAAACCATGAAAAGTTACCTAAGTATTACCAAGAGAAATTGTCTCCAAGTCTTCATTGCTTTTAATGTTTATTTTAATTTTTTGTTTCTTTTCTATTTTTTTTTAAAAAATATTTATTATTTTATTGGAAAGGTAGTGTTACAGTAAGCGGAAGAGACAGAGACAGAGAGAGAGGGAAAGGGAGAAAGAGAGGGAGAGGGAGAAAGAGAGGGAGAAAGTATTTTATCTGATGATTTGATAAATGTATACATTCAAGTATCTATCAACCCAATGAATCACCCCAGAAAATTCTTTGGTTCTTTTGGGGTCAATTTCTCCTCCCCACACCACAACTATCCTCTTGCAAATCAAGCAGTATAACCCACCACTGTGAGTTTGTTAGGCTGGTTGATAAATTCATACATTCAAATAAGTAGTATTCTTATGTATCTAGCTCGTTCTCCCAGCACAGAGTGGAGAGTTCTGTGTGGTACTGGGTGTATCATACATTGACTCCTTTTGGTGATTAATATTCTATTGTATGAGCAAAGCAATTCACTTATACGCCCTTCAAAATGTGAATGGATGAGTTGTTTCTGGTTTGGTACTATTATGGGCTGAACTGCTATGCAACCATGTACAAATTTTTGTGGGCATTTTTTTTCTGGGTTACATACTATGTCTACGTTCAACTTAATAAGAAACTGATGATCAGTTTTCCAACATGGTCCTACCGTTTTCTATTCCATGAACTGTGTCTTGGAGCTCTGACCCACAACCAGTATGGTGAGACTTTTTACTTTTTTTCCATTCTAATGAGTGTGATGTGATATCTCATTGTGGTTTTGTTTTTCATTTCCCTGATGACCAGTGACATGTATTTTTTCTTAATTCTTCCTTGATCATTCATATGTTCTCTTACGGAAGCTTTTGTTTACCCTTTTGGCTTTTTAAATTAGATTGTCTATCTTATTAATAGTGCATTATAACAAAAGGAGTACAATTCTTTTTCCAAATGGTGTTTAGAAAGTATTTTCTCCTAATGTGTGGCTCTCATTTTTTTCTTTTTAAAATGTTTTATTAATATAAAGAGAACAGTTCTAAGAAGATAACCATACTTCCCTCCTTCCCCCATCCCTCCCTTAAACCCCCTCCTTCCTCTTTAATTTTTGCAAAAACATAATTTCTATCTATTCTACAATCACAGGTTTAATGCATCACTAACCATAATATTCAACAAGTAAGAAGTAGAAAGACCACAGTTCCACAGGAGTATAAACAAGGGCTAAAAACACCAGTCAAAGTCACAAGATGTCTGCAATATCTTTTGAAGAACAGAGGTTTAAATTTTAATGAAGTCTAGCTTACCAATTTTAAAAAATGCAATCTGACTTTCTGAGTGCAAAGAAATCTTTGCGTACTACAAGGTTGTAAACATTTGTGTTTTTTTTTCTCTGGAAGTTTTACTCTAAGGGATAATATCCAAAACTCAAATAATTTTTACAACTCAGTGGCAGAAAAACAAATAACCCAATTAAAAATGAGCAAGGGTGGTAAATGTTTGGTGTAGTGGTTAAGACACCCATATTCCATATCTGAGTATTTGGTGTTAGTCCGAGTTGTGCTTCCCATCCCAGATTCTTGCTAATGTGCACTGATGAGGCAGCACATGATGGCTCATTGAGCCCTTGCCACCTGCTTACGTGAGATACACAGATTGAGTTCTAGGCTCCTGGCTTTGGCCTGGCCGGGCTCCTGCTGTTGCTGGCATCTGGGGAGAGAGTCAGTGGGTGGATGGTCTCTCTCTCTCTCTCTCTTTCAAATAAAATGAAAATAAATAAAAAAATATTAAATAAAAACTTTTAAAAAATGAGCAAAGGACTTGAACTGCTTTTCTGTTTAGGCTTATTGTGCACTTTTAATGCAATTTTTGTACCTGTGATTAAGTGAGGGTCAGGATTGAACTTAAAAAATATGGATGCCCAATTGTTTCATCACCATTTGTTAAGAGATATCCTTTACTTACTGAACTATGTTGGCACCTTTGGGAAAATCAGCCGAATAGGGGCAGACATTTGATGTGTTCAGTTGCTGTTTTGGATTCCTCTGAGAATCTGTGTCAGTCACAGGTCCACTGTCAATTCCAGCTGCCTGCCAATGCGCACTCTGGGAGATAGCAGGTGATGCAGAAATACCTGGGTTCCTTGACCCCGACATGGGAGTTCTCACTGCAGTGCCTGGCTCCTGGCTTTGGCTTGGGTAAGCCCTGGTTGTTGTAGCCACTTGGTGAATGAACCAGTACATGGAAGATCTCTTTATGTTTCTGTCTCTGTCTTTCAAAAAAAATTATAACAGAGGTGGAACATTTCTATTAAAAAGTCAACTGAACATACATGTATGAAACTATTTCTGGACTTTGGTCTTCTATTGGTCTGTTAGTCTTTTCTTATGCTAGTGCCATTCTTCCTTTGTGAAACTAAATATAACAAATTCTGAAATCAGGTAGTTCAGTTCTTCCAGTTTTGTTTTTCTTTTTCAGAATTGCTTTGGCTAACTTAGGTTCCTTGCATTTCCCTTTAGGTCATAGAAACATCTTGTCAATTTTTAAAAGGATATAAACTTAGAATTAAAAACAATTATCTATTTGAGGGGGTTGGAGAGGGAGGGAGGAAAGGAGGGAAGGAGAGAGAGAGAGAGAGAGATCACTCCCTAGATGGCCACAGCTGCTGAACCTGGACCAATTGAAGGGCACCAGGAACTGGACCAAGGTCTTCCATATGAGTGGCAGGAACCCAATGACTTGAGCCATTACTGCTGCCTCCCAGGGTCTGCATTAGTGGGCAAGTGGAGCCAGGAATCAATCACAGGCATTCCATTATGGGATGTAGGCATCTTAACTGCCTTTTCAACTGCCAGGCTACATGACTGCCGCAGGTCTGCTGAAAATTTAGTTTCCATTCAATACATTTATCAGTTAATATGGAGAGACTGAAGTCTTAACACTATTAATTCTAACTTGTGAACGTGATATATATATATCTTCATTTATTTAAAAACTTCATTTAATTTCTGTCATACACAGTATTTTTATACTTTTTAGTCTGTGTACTTTTTATCTTTTATTAAATATATTCCTAAATATTTGATGCTATTGTAAAAGCATTTCCTAATTGTTTTCTACTTATATACAGATGCAATTGATTTTATATCTCGACGGTGTGTCACAGAACTTTGCCAAATTCACATATCAATGTGAGAATTGTAAGCAAAAAATATAAAAGTACATTAAACATCCATGTGCCCAACCCCACCCAGATGCTATGATTACCATTTAGATATATTTTCTTTAGCACAGATACATCATCTAATCTGTATTATTTGTCTTATTTTTTATATATTTTAAGATAAGTTGCAAACATCAGTACACTTCATTCCAAACATGCCAGCATGAGTGTTATTAAGTGTAATTGAATTACTCCTTATAGTTTTAAAATTTTAAGTATAGTTTACATACCATGAGGTGTATAAATTTTAAGTGTACCAGCTGATGTCTTTTGAAAAATGCGTGATTCCTATGTCCTTTTATGTCCCTTCTAAATTAATCCCTGTCCCCACATCTCCAAAGCAATTGCTGTTCTGACTTTTAACAAATGAGACTCTACATTACTTTTGCCTATTCTAGCTCTTTATACAAGACAATCATGTAGTGTTCATTTTCTTGGGAAATGTTTCTTTCAATCAGAATGATATTTTTTAAATTTCATTAATGTAGATGCATGGATCTTTTTAAAAAATTGCTTAAAGTATTTTATTCTATGAATACACCACATTTTGCTTACATACTCCTATTAATGGACACTTGTGTTTCTAATTTTTTGTGCCATGATTAAAACTTATGAGCATTTTGTACAAATCTGTGGTATATGCTTTCATTTCTCTTGGGTAAATACCTGAGAGTAGAATTGCTGGGATACAGCTATGCTTGGTTATATGAGAAACAGGCCCATTTTCTAAAGCAGTTTAACATTCTGTACTCCCACCAGCAATGTATGGAATCTGAGGTTGCATTACATCTTTGCCAACATTTGGTGTTGTCAGTCTCTAATTTTATCCATTTCAGTGGGTGTATAATGGTAACTCATTGTGGTTTTAATTTACATTTCCACAATGACTAATTATGTTGTGTTCTTTTTCATGTGCTTTTCTTCTGTATGAAATGTCTATTCAAGTTGTTTATTTTTAAAAATATAGTTGTTCCTTTTTTTTGGTCATTGACTTGTATACATTCTTTATATTGCTTGGATACCAATACTTTATTAGATATGTTTTATAACTAAAACTCCAAGATTTTGACTTGTCTATTTTCTTAATCTTACCTTCCAATAAGCAGGATTTAAAATTTTTTATGAGTTCTCATTTATTATTTTCTTTTATTATTTGTTATTTGCTAGACCCCAAGTAATAAAAGTATTCTCCTATGTTTCCTTCTATAATCTTATAACTTCATATTTTATGTTGAGGTCAATGATTTACCTCTAATTTTTGTACACAATATGAGATAAGGGTTGAGTTTCTTTCTTTTTGCCACAAATAGATGTATATTTATTCTAGCATCTTTTCTTAAAAATATTCTACTTTCCCATTGAATTCTGTTATTACCTTTGTTGGAAATTAATTAATTGTTCATTTTGTGGGCCCACTTAGGGCTTCATATTCTGTTCTAATATAGATATATCTATTTTCATATCTCTCCCAAACTTTCTTGATCAATGTAAGTATGCAATTAGTCTTGAAGTCAAGTGGCATAAGTTGTCCACTGTTTTTTATTTATTTATTTTTATTATTTTTTTTTATTTTTGACAGGCAGAGTGGACAGTGAGAGGGAGAGAGACAGAGAGAAAGGTCTTCCTTTTGCCGTTGGTTCACCCTCCAATGGCTGCCATGGCTGGCGCACTGCAGCCGGTACACCGCGTTGATCTGAAGCCAGGAGCCAGGTACTTATCCTGGTCTCCCATGGGGTGCAGGGCCCAAGGACTTGGGCCATCCTCCACTGCACTCCCTGGCCACAGCAGAGAGCTGGCCTGGAAGAGGGGCAACCGGGACAGAATCCGGCACCCCGACTGGGACTGGAACCTGGTGTGCCGCCGCCGCAAGGTGGAGGATTAGACTAGTGAGCCGCTGCGCCGGCCCATGTGGCATTCTTTAAACAATTTTGTTTTAAAAATGATGGTAGCTAACAGATAGAGACATGATTGATTTCTATAAATTGGCTTTATATCCTCTAAACATGCTAAATTCACTTACTAATTCTAGTAGGTTTTTGTAGATTACTTGGCATTTTTTGTAAAGGCATCCTATCAACTGCAAACAAAGTTTTGCTTATTGTTTTTCAGGCTGTATGCCCCCTTATTTTTATTTTTTTTTCTATTGCCTAATTACACTGCTAGAATGCCATTCAATGTTAAACAGAAGTGGTAAGAGTGAACATGTTTTTGTATTCTTCATGGTACAAGAAACTGTTCAACTTCTCACCAATAATAATTGTGTTAGTTGCAGAGTTGTGTTTTCTTTTTTCTGGGTGGATTTACTTTATTTCCAATTATGCTTAGTTTGATAAGTTTTTATCAGGAAAAAATGTTAAATGTCTTCAAAGGCTTTCTCTGCAAATATTAAGACTATCATAGATATTTGTCTTTTATTCTGTTAAGATGGTAATTTATATTGGTTGCTTTTCTAATGTTAAACCAGTATTCAATTTCTGGATTAATCCCACTTTTTCATGAAGTAGTATCCTTTTTGTTGCTGGATTGCATTTGTTATTACTTTTGGAGACTATTTTATCTTATTAATTATATTGAGCTAAAGGTATTCTTTCTGTGTCTGTAGGGTGGGGGGTTTGCTGGCATTGTAATGTTTTGATGTTCTATAAAATGAGTTGATGTATGATTGTCCTTTATTTTACAAAATAATTTGTGTAAAATTGGCATTATTACTTCTACCTTAAATAAACAGTGAGCTAACCAGGGAAACAGTGTGGCCCTGGAATTTTCTTTGCTGGAGGATTTTGAATATGACATTAATTTCAATGGTTGATATAGTTAGCAGATTTTTATCTGGTAACTTGTATTTTAGAAGCAATTTATCTAATTCATCTAAGGAAAAAAGAGCAGAAGTTAGTGCAAGGAAATAAATATTAGAGATAACAGCAAAAATCAGTGAAATAGAAAAAGACACATGAAAAAAAGAATTAACAAATCTAAAAGGCAGCTGTTTGGATTGTGAATAACCTTGATAAATCAGGAAAATAATATAAATTATGACTATCAAGTATGAAAGAAAGAGATACCACTAATGATTTCAGGCATTAAAAAATTGATAAGGATATGTGATGAATTATATCAACAAACTTGACTTGCTCTTAAATTTTTGGTTTTGATCCATTTTAAGTTAAATTTTGTCTAAAATAAGACTTCAACACTATTCTTTTGTTTGTGGATATTCCATTTTCTCAGCACCATTTGTGGAAGCAACTGTCCTGTCTGCATTGAATGGTCTTGGTGTCTTTGTTGAAAATCAGTTGGCCATGTAATGTGTGGGTTCATGTCTGGATTCTCTATTTTCTTCCATGGCTACATATATTTATTCTTATGCCAGTCCTACATTATTTTGATTAGTGTAGCTTTATAGTGAGTTTTATAATTGCAGAAGTGTTTGTCCTCCAACTTTGTTCTGCTTTCTCAAAATTATCTTGGCTCTTCAGGATCCCTTAAAATCCCATATGAATTTTAGGATAGATTTTTCTATTTCTGTGGAAAAAAATTCTGTTGATACTTTTGATAGTATTCACACTGAGTCTGTAGATAACTGGGGAGATTGTATTGTCTTCTTAATGTCAAGTCTTCTAATCCATGATCACAAAACAGCTTTCCATTTAGTAGGACTTTTTTTTTTTTTTTTTTTTGACAGGCAGAGTTAGACAGTGAGAGAGAGAGACAGAAAGAGTTATAGAGAGTGAGAAAGGTCTTCCTTCCGTTGGTTCATTTTCCAATGGCCGCCATGGCCGGTGCTGAGCAGATCTGAAGCCAGGAGCCAGGTGCTTCCTCCCGGTCTCCTTTGACGGTGCAGGGACCCAAGCACTTGGGCCATCCTCCACTGCCCTCCTGGGCCACAGCAGAGAGCTGGACTGGAAGAGGAGCAACTGGAACTAGTACCCAGCACCCCAACTGGGACTAGAACCCGAGATGCCAGTGCTGCTGGCGGAGGATTAGCCTAGTGAGCCATGGTGCTGGCCTTAGTTAGGACTTTCTTAATTTCTTTCAGCAATGTTTTGTAGTTTTCAGAATGTGTTTTGTACCTCCTAAGTACATTGTTCTTCATGATGCTGCTGTGTATGAAATTATTTTCTTAATTTTCCTCTTATATTGCTTATTGCTAGTTCATAGAAATACAATTGGTTTTTGCATGCTTATTTTGCATTTGGCAACTTTGCTGAATTTATCAATTTTAACAGGTTTTTAAAATTATTTATAAAATGGGAACAAACTTTATGTATTTCATATATACAGTTTTAAGAGTATAATGATACATCCCACCCTACTCTCCCTCACTCCTACCATCCCTCCTTCTTTTCTTATTTTTATTTTAATTTTTACAATGGTATACTCTCAATTTTCTTTATAACCATGAGTTTTACACTCTACCAAATACAGAATTCAGCAAGTAGTAAGTAGAAAAACCACTGTTCCTCAAGAATATAGACAAGAGTTATAAACAATAATCTCAAAATGTCAATTTTGCTCACATAAATTACTTTTTTTGTACTCTTTACATTAGTTACCAGAAATCAGGGAAAACATATATTTGTCTTTTGGGGACTGGCTTATTTCACTAAGTGTAATAGTTTCCAGTTGCATCCATTTTGTTGTGAAAACAGG